GTAGTCAGACATAAATTTTAGTTCATATTTTTGGGTTTGCTGGGTTTCATTTCATATTATTTGGGTTGAAGATTTGATGGAGAAACAAAGGAATAAATAGCAATATTTTTTCCCAACAGAAACAGAGGAAAAATCGTGAAATGGTGCAAAGACCAAGGGCAACTTGACAAGTGACAGCGTAAAATATGAAAGAGAAAGAGAAAATGGGGGTGAGCCATCAGATGAGATCCACCATTCTCAGCCTCCCTTTCTCTCTTTCAAAGCTCTCCCCACATTTCTCTCCTCTTCCTATTTATAATTTTCCTTTGTCATACTTTGCCATAATGGAGTGACCAAACTCACAATACCAATAACTCCACCCAACAAACAAAGAGGAAAAAAAGAGCCTCTCACTTCCATCCTCAACCATATAATATCCTCCCAAAGCTATACGCTTCACATAGCCTGTGCAACAACACAACAACAAACACCAACGCAAGCAAAACAAAAGACACACACTCTGCTCTCAATAACAGAGAAAACACAAAATGTCGTGGCAGACCTACGTGGATGACCACTTGATGTGTGACATTGACGGCCAAGGCCAGCACCTCTCTGCGGCTGCCATTATCGGTCTCGATGGCAGTGTCTGGGCCAAGAGCTCTTCCTTCCCCCAGGTCCAATCTTCATCTTATACTATTTGGTGATAAAAACTTAGACGTAGCTGCATTGCATGCTGATCGCTTAAGCATTTAATTTGGGTTCATTATATTAACATCTCCATTGCAGTTTAAGCCAGAGGAGATGACTGGGATCAACAAGGATTTCGAAGAACCGGGTCATCTTGCTCCAACCGGGTTGCACCTTGGGGGCGCAAAGTACATGGTAATCCAGGGAGAGCCTGGCGCTGTCATCCGTGGAAAGAAGGTACCATCGTTCTCATATGTCTCCATATAGTTAACCCTATGATCAATCAGTTCATTTATATTGGGTTGAAGTTATTTTGCACAGGTTTTAAACTAAACATGTTTTCTGTGGTTGATTTTTGTAGGGCTCTGGAGGTATCACTATAAAGAAAACTGGACAAGCTCTGGTATTTGGAATCTATGAAGAACCTGTGACTCCAGGGCAGTGCAACATGGTTGTTGAGAGGTTGGGGGATTACCTCATTGACCAGGGCCTGTAGGCTTATATGTCTATCATGACCCTAGTATTTCAATTTTGGATTTTTTTTGCTTTTCTTGTTTTCTTTTTTGGGGTTTTGGTTCCCAGATTGCACCTCCTTCATCCAAAAAGCCTCTAAAAATTGGTGGTGAAGTTGAAGTTGTTGCAGACAATAACCATCTGAGAAGGACTAAAAGCAGCTGTTTGGTTGCTTGAATTGCATAAACTTGATATTTCATGATAATATCTGTATCCCTTGTTTGTAGTTTTTTTCCTTTCTAAGTCATGTATTTCATTGGAACATTCTTAAAAGAATATTTGACTGGCAAAAGCTTGCCAGCTCATATTTGACTAGCTGGTGCTGATTTTTGAGTTGTTTTTGTTTTAAATTTTCTGAAGATTTGCTCTACATTCTTGTTACAATAATGAATAAAAATAACAAGTTCCATACAGAGAAGATTGAGGAAGCATCTAATCTAAAAACTATTACCCTTTTGTCCTTTGGCCATCTCATTGATGCACTTTCATTTCATTCCCCATTGCTAGTTGGCAACCAGTGGGTTTTTTCAAAGAATAAATCCTCCAGGTTTGGTGTCTCATGTTTGAAGAGGATGGGAACTGTTTTGGTATATTAGACAGTTTGCATTGCCATTTGAGACACTGAATTTATATACCTCAATGAATACTAGTTTTGCTGGCAAGAGAATATTTATCATCATTTTGTTTTATTGGTGGGGGCAAAATGAATCCTCATGGAGGATGTGATTTTTGTATAAACAAACAAGAGGACCTCAGATATGACAAGTTGCTCTCCTCACATCACATATCATAGGGAATATCTAGTCAATAATAATATTAATAATTCTTCTTTTGGAAAGTGATGGGACAGAAAATCTAAGTTAATTAGTAGGCTTAAGATAAGAAATGATGAGCAAATCAAAAGTCGAACTATTTTATTTTTCCGTTGGTTTTAAGCTTCAGGGTCCTTGAATTTATCCTCGACTTTCAATTGGATTCTCAAACTCTTTTCCAAAGGCAATTAGGTCCTTTAACTCGACCATCCGTTGCAATTATTTAAAAAAACACAAGTGCGACTAGGATAGAGATTCTCCTAGGCCTGGCCCTTTTTAATTTTTCCAAAGTTCTTTCATTTTCATTTCAGCTTTGAGATTTGTTATGGAAAAAAATTCAAAGATCATGATTTTATATTGGGGGGAGCCATTCTTTTACAGTGTGTTTGGATGAGGAAATTTAAAAATACAAAGGATTTCATAAATGACGGAAATTAATGTTCTATAATTTGTAAAGTTTCTTGTTTTGGTGACGGATATAAAACACGGAATTTAACCTTTATTTGAAAAGTTATCTAGAGTAATGCTATTTGGACACACAACATTAACACACTTAGTTGACACCCGCTGATGTGTCAATGTATCATTTGCTATTCTTTTCTCCTCATTTTCTGTTCAACGAATGATACATTGACACATCAGAAGGTGTCAACTAAGTGTGTCAATGTTGTGTGTCCAAATAGCATTACTCTAAAAACTGAATCTCTCTTGGGATTTTAGAAATGACGACTTTTAGATAGAATTTAAAGTTTGGATTTATGATCTTCAAATTCCATGTTTTTTTCCACCCAGAATTTCTAAATTTCTATATTTTTTTATCCAAACATGGGAATTGGTTCATGTCAATTTAGAAATTCCGACTTTTGTCAAAATCTCAAGTTTATTTCCCTCATCCAAATTCACCGTTAGTTTTAAAATATTGTCTTGTTAAATTGTTAACATAGATGATACGTTCAACTCCACAAGATTCCCCTTTATCAAAAGTTTATATTACATATCATTACTGTGTAATAAGAAATCATTTCTATAAATAAAGAACTAAAATTTGAATATTAAATCAGAAATCAATTGAGGATTTGGGAGCAAATCAGCATATTCTTTATTGGTCAAAATTCGAATTAAAAGTAAAAAGGTGTGGGCAAATGGGGTAAAATTTTGATTTTAAATTTAAATAGACTCACCCTACATTCGTGCGTTGTTTCAACGCTGCTGTTCATTATAGAAGACTAGAGGCTGAACAAAAGCTGATCTTTCCTTCTCAGACACCCAAAACTTCGATAACACAAAATCCCACAACACACAGAAACCCAAGAACAAAAAACCTCAAAATCAGCAACAACAACAAAGATGTCGTGGCAAACCTATGTAGACGACCATCTGATGTGCGAAATTGAAGGCAACCACCTCTCTGCCGCCGCCATCATCGGCCACGACGGCAGCGTTTGGGCCCAGAGCGCCACTTTCCCTCAGGTTCCATTTTTTCCTTTCTGTCAAAACACATATTAATGTTTTGTGCATACCATCTTGCTTAAAGCTTTGATCTTGGTGGGTAAGTCAAAGTTTGATTGACTGAGTCAAAGTTTGATTGACTGAATCAAATCGATTTGGTTTGTCTAATCTCATCTTTGGATGCCATGTTTTTTTTTATTTATATACTGCTTTGATTGATTAGTGTTATGTTTATTGCTTGACCTGTATAGTTGAAGCCTGAAGAAGTGACTGGCATTATGAATGACTTCAATGAACCTGGTTCACTTGCTCCAACTGGGTTGTATCTTGGAGGCACAAAGTACATGGTCATCCAAGGAGAGCCAGGAGCTGTCATTAGAGGAAAGAAGGTACCTTTAATAAGTTAATCTCATTCATTCTTTATACTGATCACAACCCATATGCACATCATTGATGCTTATACATTTTGATTTTTTGTTTTCATGGTTTCTGATCTGATTTTGGGTCACTTTAATTTCAGGGACCAGGTGGTGTTACTGTCAAGAAGAGCACTCTTGCTTTGCTGATTGGCATTTATGATGAGCCAATGACTCCTGGCCAATGCAATATGATTGTTGAAAGGCTTGGTGATTATCTGGTTGAGCAGGGTCTCTAGAGACCTTGGTATGTCTTCTTTTATTTAGGGGATGTTCCCGGTTTCTGTTAAAGTTTGCTTCTTCTCACTCTGACCCTGACCCTGCTGCTGGAAATGTTTGGTTGCAGTGAAAACAACTACATGTATTACTAGTGGTGGGATTGGAACCACTTGTGGAAACAAAATTTGGAGCTTGAGAAATGTTGATTATGGTCTTTGTCTTACTGTCTTTGTACTCCTTTGATGAATTGTATTGTATTGTATGATTTTCAAGTGAGGTACTTGTCCACAGGATTTCAGTAAATGAAAGTGGCAAATTGATTTGCATGAATTTATAGATATTCCTTATTTTTATCATGGCTTTTCTTTGGATGTTTTCTCTGGTGTACAATAGATGATACCTAATTTTACATTCTACCTTGAATTAAGGTATGATGCTTGTGTGGCACCCTTGGAGTCAGGGGAACTTGAAGCCATGTGAGTATCAAATGGCTCAAATCTTTAACTATTAAAAGTTCATATTTTCTTGGCATGGTTTTTGGGAGATGATTGAGGTAATATTGGCTTTGATGATGGTTGGCATCGGCTGGGGAGACGGTAGGTGTTTTTCGGTTGCTGAAATTACAACTTCGGTATTGTCTTAAAGGTGTTTGGATGGTTAATTAGATCTATCAAAATAGAGAGGGAAAGGAGGTAAAGACCCCGCTGGTCATAATTGACAGACTAGTTCATCATGCTTGCACTTCAAAGTCTTACATTTGAAACCTACATTACAGATTTTATCTCACAAATACACTGATTCCTCCTCTCCAATTGAGGTGTGAAGTTCAACCATCAGAAGCTGCAAACTCTTTAGTTTCTAACTCAAGTCTCTACATGTGTTAAAAATTGAGAGGGAAAGGAGGTAAAGACCTCACCGCTCATAATCGACAGACTAGTTCATCATGCTTGCACTTCAAAGTTTTACATTTGAAACCTACATTACAGATTTTATCTCACAAATAAACTGATTCCTCCTCTCCAATTGAGGTGTGAAGTTCAACCGTCAGAAGCTACAAACTCTTTAGTTTCTAACTAAAGCCTCTGCATGTGCTAAAAACATATCACTCATGTCATCCCATCTTCAGAAGATATAGCACTATTATACAAAAATTGGGGAGCTGATTGATATTCAGCAATTACATTCTTCCTCTTGAAAATGAGGGAAAAAGTTTCAAAAGCCAACACCAACCCCTGCAATAGCCTAATCACCGAAATACAAGAATCACCAATATCTGGTCTCCATAGCAAAATATATACTGCTTTTAACATCCAAGTCTCTCAGCCATGGTCAACTTTTGGAAAGAACTAACATGAAAGTCCCTAGAAGGCAACTAAACACCCATGTTGGAACTCTGTTCATTGTGGCGAAGGATGAAGTAGAAGATATTGCTGTTGTATTACTTGCCACAGTTTTGTTGCTCCTGCATGAGAATTGCAAAACAAGAAAACTTGGTCAACATGGAATGCAACATTGGCAAACAGAATTTGTAGGGATGTCGCATGTATAAAACTTACCCAGCAGTCATATAGATGCAGTTGTCATAGCCTGCACGAGTGAAATAAGATTAGTTTTGCGAAGACCTCTCAAATGAGATTCTCAAGAATACTTCAGAAACTTGTAAAGATAACTGCAAGATATATAATTTAGGTTTGTATATGCATTTTCACACTCCGATGAAATCCGCCCGTCAAAATAAGAGTATCACATAGCAACATTACTTAACCAAGTATGCCATGCATAAGGAGAACCAGATAGCAAGTTGGAAGGGCAGTTAAATGAGAAACTAGCTTTACAGCCAGACATATACACATCAAATACACCTGGCCAGCCACTTAGTCTACTGCTTCGCTCTGTTTTAAGGAATGCTTGGTTATCCCCAAGTAAAAGATGGTCAGCTAAAATAATTACTTGATCATGCACCATATAAGAAAAAAATGGTTTCATGCATACACGAAAAGAGAACAGACATATGAAGTAAAGAAATGCAGTTTAAAAGCAGGAGTTGGATCCATTAATACGTACTCGGGTTCTTATCGACTTTAATTCCTGTCCCTCCGAAACTGCAAGCAACATCAGTAGCCCCATTTTGCTGGTAATAATTGTTGAACGCAAAAGATGCATGAGCCACTGTATTATCTGGCTCAAAGCAAGGTTGGCTAGGCTGAATAGCGGTACAGTCTACATTCCCAGGACCACAAGCCCAATCCAAGGCATTCTGCAAGTCAAGTTCAGAAGCCTTACTTGAAGCAATGCACCACGTCGTCACATTCGAACTGGTAACATTGGCCTGTGTAATCACATCCGCAGAACCTTTTCCAGTGAAATCCAGGTTGTAGACGCTTGTCTGGTCTGGATAAAATAACCCCCAGTTCCTCTCCGAGTCCAACCCAGGCTTCCTATTTTCATTGAACAAAGAAAAGATATAGATATCCAGCCTCTCTCCGGGCTTTGCAGGAGTACCGGTATCATTAATGACATGGCGAATCAGATTGGTATTGTAAGTTTGGGCATTATCAGGAGTTGCAGCTGTCTCTTTAGGCGATCCCTTCGAAGGCCAGCCTGTCTCAGTGACCATGATCTTAATTGTTTTGAAATTCAGAGCCATCAGTGCGTAATATATAGCATCAATCTGTGCATCGAGCATGTTGGTGTATAGCAAACCAGTGTTTGGATCAATAACATCTGAGGATGACTCAAATAAGGCATAGTCTAGAGTGACATTGGATGGGGAATCTCTGTAAGCATAGTATGGATAAATATCAACCATGAAGGGTGACTGGTTTTCGGCAAGAAATTCCAACAGGGGTTTCAGAAACGATGCATGGCTGCTATTAAAAGCCCCTGCAGAGGGAGGGAATGATCGGGACAGAACACCAAGAGAATGTGTAGTTGATACTTTAATCTTCTTAGACAGACCAACCTTTTTTAAGGCTGTGAGGACATTTCTCATGGCAGGCACTACTTGTGCAGAGAAATTACTGGGGCTCTCAGTAACTTCAGCTCCAACAGTTATGTGTGTGATCTTCGTAGCTGGGTAGTAAGGCAGGATGCTGTTCTTAAGCCAGGTGTCTGCATTGGATTGGTATTGGGAAAATGCCAACAAGTCTGAATTTGGGACCCCAATCATAAGTTCAACGCCAGTGTTTCCAAAGGCCTTGAGGACCTGTATGTTAGAGTCGTAAATCCTAACATATTTAATGTTATGAAGCTGCACAAGCTGCGCCGCTTTGTCCGGTGTAGGAAGATCATCAGCATTTCTTCCATAGCAAATTCCAATGGTACTTCCTCTGCAAAGATCTGTAACAAAGATCACAAGATTCAAACAAATGAGTATTCATTAAACTTGGAAGAGATACGTAAACTGATGGCCTGCCAGCAGGCTGGCCAGTAGAAACAAAGAAAAGAAAGAATAAAAAGATTGGGCAGGATTAACTCAAATATGCAAACACCAACTGGATCAGAGGTCTTACAGCCAAAAAGATACTACATTGACTAAGACCGTTCATATTACTAATTCCCTTCATAGAATTCATAATGTCCAGCAAAATAATTTCAAAAGATACTACATTGTATAAGGCTTTCAAGAATCATGGCTTCCTCTCAAGAATTAAAGCCAAGTTCTACTGTGATTACAAAAATAGCAGGCACACTGCATCACCAATGAACCCTTTCAAATGCTCAATAACTTGAGTTTGTAGAGGTACCAAAACACAGTAAATAAATACTTGTGCACCTTATGAAGGTAGCAAATTACACTTTTGTTGTCCACATTTCAAGTTGTTTACAACCAAACCAGATAGGGTCCCCAAACTGAATTATTGCATTCCAGCTGTCCACCACCCCACTGGAGAAAAATACAAACGCAAAGCAACTGAAATAGAAAATCATTAATTTAGCATTGCCCCTTTAGGTGCGATATAGGCGTTAGTTAAGGTTCCAAATAAGCATATTAGGCTATCAGGATAAATACTTATGTTAATATACCTAGTTGACAAAATAAAAACTAAAAATATGAGAAGTTTAGAGCACTTGGTAACTGATGTATGCTTTTCCCAGATGAATATATAATTAAAAAAATGTGAACCTTGGAGCTAATAAGCAAGCTGAAAGTATACAAATTTGAATGATTTCAAACTCCAAAAGTTCTTCAAGGATCACAACACTCCACTCCAAAAGTCCAAATGGCCAATAATGGGGCAAAAGTAGTAACTTGAAAGAAAACACACCGACATTTTCTTGTTTCTTTTATGTATGTGTGTGTGGATTGGTCTAAAAAGCCTAGTCGCCATATAACCAAAGAAGATTACTTTATGAAAACAAAGATCCAAAAAACGCAAACGAGAAAAATCACTTCGAGTACAAAGAAATTTCAGCTCAAACACTTGAAACACCATCAACATTGAACCCCATTGCACATTAGACAGAAAGAAAGAAAGAAAGAAAAACGAAAAGACGGAAATAAAGAAGAAGAAGCAGAGGAACCCAGAAAGAGAAACAAACCCAAAAGTGCGAGCAGGAGTGAAGTGGCAAAGATTAGCCTGAACCCACTTGCCATTGCTCTCTCTTTCTTTTCTCAAACAGCTTCTTTCTTCTCCTTGAACCCTCTGTGAGCCTCGCTCTAAGCAAATGCTCAACGTTCTTCTTCTTGTAAATAGTAACGGCTCCTTCTTTTTCACTTTCCAAAAAGCCTTTCTCAATCTCTGTGTTTAGCTCAGAGCTCGAGAGTGAAAGCACTTAAGCCTCGTATTTGTATTTGTCTTTGTCTTTGTATTTGTATAAGCCTTATATAGCTTGATCAGCCAGAGCTGCTTGCAAAAGGCTTTTCAGAATATAAGTGCTTGTGTCAGCAACACAGGAGTTTTGTCAGCGCAAGGACCGGACTTGAGCAGTTTATGAAATCTAGTTTATTCAAAGGCCTCGGTTCCGGAACCTTTGCATGTCTGGTTGCTTCTGTAACTTCTGTTCCCCTACCCATCAAATCTACTGTTGGCTTCGCTTAGTGTTTAGCTTAACCACACGCCATGTTAAATTTCCAAAGGGCTGCTGGCTTGGTTTAAATATTCATAAAAATAATCAAACATATTGCAGCTGCACATCTCTCTGTCTCTTACTTTATGGATTTTGGTCTGCTCTGCTCTGCCCCACTTTTGAGTATATGAAGTGAAAATGTAAAGGTGAATCTCGGTGAATTACCTCTGGTACAAGCTATGTATCTATCTAGTGTAAGATTTTCAAGCTGCGCCACCTACTTGCTTTTATTAATAACAATAGGAAATTATGTGAACCGGTGCTGATTTTCGGACGGATAGAATCCAAATCAGGGATTCCAATTTCAATTAAAAAAAATTCGGAATAAAAATTCTTTTTTAATTTCGTTCCAAAAATTTTCGAGTTTTTTGGAATTTAAACATCCATTCCGATTCGGAAGAAATTTTCGGAATTTCGAAAAATAGTTGAAACTATTTTAAACATGTCTAACAATTTGAAATATTAAAATTGGGTCAAAATTGAAAAATCATACGAAAAAACTCAAACAACTATTATATGTTATTACTTAGATGTTGTTATCCTTTATGAAATTACTCATCCGTGTCTATTTGGTCATTAAATCATATGTAGTTCAACATGAAATTAGTCATTATGTGTAGTTTAAGCTTCAAACCCCAATATATTTTGGAATTCAGAAGTTTCGGAATCTTGAGATACATTCCTATTCCTTTTTTTTTTTTCCTTCGTAATTTTCATATTTAGAAACTTTCGGATGTCAGAATTGATTGGACTTGCCAAGATCGGAAACGGTCGGAATCAAAATTTCCAATTCAACTTGCAACCCTAATGTGAACAAACCATAACCTTATGGGCCTACAACAAGCCTTGTATGGCACATTTAACATCTGATTGCAAGCCCATTCTGTTGTCCCTTCCGCAAAGCAGAACAAGAAACAGAGGAGGTCTAGTAGGCCTCAAACTAGACCTAGAAGGGCAATGCGGAAGTTGGGGCCGAAGACTCATTCTCTACTATTATTGTACTATACAAAGCAATATTTAAGAACCAAAATCCTACCTGACGACACGCCTCTATTGTATTTTGACATTATTTTACAAGGGAAGGGAAAGAAAACCAAAAAGAAAATAAAGTTTTAATATAATTTTCGCGGTCTCCATCTTTTGAATTCTACTCTTCTACTTTCAGTCAGTCAAACCCACCTCCATAAAACTGAAGAAAAAGAAAAAAAAAAATCTTTGTCCCCCTCTCTCTGCTTGAAACCCTAGCGACCAGTTCAAAATCCAATAGGACAAAGATGAAGACGAAGACACCATTGAATTTGACGCAACTCAAGCTCTCTGTTCCAGCTCAAGAAGCCAACATCAAGTCTTTCTTGTGAGTAACTCCATCTTTCTCTCTTTCCTGTATGTAAAGATTTCCGCTTTCATTTTGCTGGTCTTAAAATTCCCATTCTTGATTAGATTCTTGATAGCGTATGTATTTGTGCTCTGTTTGGGTTCGGAGTGCCTGAGAGAATGATTGATTGGACTTGCCAAGATCGGAAACGGTCGGAATCAAAATTTCCAATTCAACTTGCAACCCTAATGTGAACAAACCATAACCTTATGGGCCTACAACAAGCCTTGTATGGCACATTTAACATCTGATTGCAAGCCCATTCTGTTGTCCCTTCCGCAAAGCAGAACAAGAAACAGAGGAGGTCTAGTAGGCCTCAAACTAGACCTAGAAGGGCAATGCGGAAGTTGGGGCCGAAGACTCATTCTCTACTATTATTGTACTATACAAAGCAATATTTAAGAACCAAAATCCTACCTGACGACACGCCTCTATTGTATTTTGACATTATTTTACAAGGGAAGGGAAAGAAAACCAAAAAGAAAATAAAGTTTTAATATAATTTTCGCGGTCTCCATCTTTTGAATTCTACTCTTCTACTTTCAGTCAGTCAAACCCACCTCCATAAAACTGAAGAAAAAGAAAAAAAAAATCTTTGTCCCCCTCTCTCTGCTTGAAACCCTAGCGACCAGTTCAAAATCCAATAGGACAAAGATGAAGACGAAGACACCATTGAATTTGACGCAACTCAAGCTCTCTGTTCCAGCTCAAGAAGCCAACATCAAGTCTTTCTTGTGAGTAACTCCATCTTTCTCTCTTTCCTGTATGTAAAGATTTCCGCTTTCATTTTGCTGGTCTTAAAATTCCCATTCTTGATTAGATTCTTGATAGCGTATGTATTTGTGCTCTGTTTGGGTTCGGAGTGCCTGAGAGAATGGAGGGAATTGCAAATGGTTTTGCACAAGTAAGAAAGAAATTGCAGATGGTTTTGCACTTTAGATCTTTCATTACCAAATTATAATACGTATAATTTAGTTTCTGGGTTTATATGGAAAATTCATAATTTGGGACTTAATAAATTTGATTACCTAATACTATTAATCAGCTTCCTATTATTGTCCTCTTTGAGTGGAAAGTCCTTTTTTGGGTTGCTATGAAAATTTCCCATCTTTAACATGCTATATTTTCTTGAATTTCAGGACTGCCAGTGGTACATTTCATGACGGCGATCTGCGTCTAAACCAGAAAGGGTTGCGGCTTATCTCTGAAGAAAAGGAGGCCCAAGTAAGTTTAATTTAATTTCTAGAGAAGAATTGGCTTCAGTGACGCGATATCCATTTTTTTCATCTTACATTGATGTTGAAGAGTTCTATTGTCAATTACCATTGGATATGTTTCTCCCAAATGAGTTAGTTAGGAGTGATGGAATTCGGAGACCTTAGCGGCTTACCTGGAAATTAGGCTTAATTTTGTTATGCTTCCCACTGCAGAAGCATCACCTGTAAAAATTTTAGGCAGACCAAGGAAAAGAGTTGATTTTGAATTCCAAGTTATTTCAACATCATCATTTGACTTTTAGCGTTCTTGGGTGGAGCTTTTGATTTCAATTAAAACCTGTCAGAGATATGTCTATCCAACTCATAAGAATCAAAGTGGGGCTGACTTCTCATGTTTGTGTGTGTTTTTCCATGCTTCCATGAACACATGCTTGGCGTACTTGTATTCTGATGCATATTGGCTTTTCTCTGCAGAGAAATGTCCTTGTTAATGTTTTCATAGTATATATTTTTTTTCCTTGTTTACTGTATTGTATATAGACTCAATATAATTTATTGCCTTTTTGGGAAGGATCAGCCTTCTGACAGTAAGGAGCTCAATTTCGAAATTTCATTGGAAGACCTTGAGACAATTAAAGTCATTGGGAAGGGAAGTGGTGGTGTAGTACAACTTGTTCGTCATAAATGGGTCGGCAAATTATTTGCCTTGAAGGTCAGTCCACTAGAAAAAAACAACTGCTCTTTAACCCTTTTTGTACTTGCCTTTATCTGGTATAGCTAGTATATGGCTGCTCTTACTTCATGGAGTTAGATAAGTGTATTACTAGGATTTCTTTTTTGTTATGTTTTACAGGTGATCCAGATGAACATACAAGAGGAAATTCGTAAGCAGATTGTGCAGGAGCTAAAAATAAACCAAGCAGCACAATGTCCACACGTTGTGGTTTGTCATGACTCATTTTATCACAATGGGGCCATTTCTCTTGTGTTAGAATATATGGATCGTGGGTCTCTTGCAGATGTGATCAGACAAGTTAAAACAATTCTTGAACCATATCTTGCAGTCGTTTGTAAACAGGTATGTGAGCTTTATCCCTTTTTAATTAAATTTCAGTATAAAATCACTTGGGAAACTTTGAAAAAGTTCCTTACACCCTTAGCTAAAGATCTGTACTTCTGCATCAGGTATTACAAGGTCTTGTCTACTTGCATAATAGGAGCTCAATTTCGAAATTTCATTGGAAGACCTTGAGACAATTAAAGTCATTGGGAAGGGAAGTGGTGGTGTAGTACAACTCGTTCGTCATAAATGGGTCGGCAAATTATTTGCCTTGAAGGTCAGTCCACTAGCTAAAAATAACTGCTCTTTTACCCTTTTTGTACTTGCCTTTATCTGGTATAGCTAGTATATGGCTGCTCTTACTTCATGGAGTTAGATTAGTGTATTACTAGGATTTCTTTTTTGTTATGTTTTACAGGTGATCCAGATGAACATACAAGAGGAAATTCGTAAGCAGATTGTGCAGGAGCTAAAAATAAACCAAGCAGCACAATGTCCACACGTTGTGGTTTGTCATGACTCATTTTATCACAATGGGGCCATTTCTCTTGTGTTAGAATATATGGATCGTGGGTCTCTTGCAGATGTGATCAGACAAGTTAAAACAATTCTTGAACCATATCTTGCAGTCGTTTGTAAACAGGTATGTGAGCTTTATCCCTTTTTAATTAAATTTCAGTATAAAATCACTTGGGAAACTTTGAAAAAGTTCCTTACACCCTTAGCTAAAGATCTGTACTTCTGCATCAGGTATTACAAGGTCTTGTCTACTTGCATAATGAAAGGCATGTAATACATAGAGACATAAAACCATCCAATCTGCTAGTAAACCATGAAGGGGAGGTCAAGATTACTGATTTTGGTGTGAGTGCTTCGCTTGCTAGCTCTATGGGTCAAAGGGACACATTTGTTGGTACTTACAATTACATGTCGGTAAGTAAAGATCTGTGCCCTCCTTTTTCACAAGTAATTACCCAAAATAAAAAAATTTGAATTCTGGTCCTTTTCCCCTCTTTTCCTCTTTTGCTCTCGAGCTCAAATCTACTGACTTTATCTTCAAGCTTAGCGTACACTACTTGTAAAATGCAGAGTATTATTCACGAAACTATGACATTACTTTGTATTTCAGCCGGAGAGGATCAGTGGCAGTACTTATGACTATAGCAGTGATATTTGGAGTTTAGGCTTGGTGGTACTTGAGTGTGCTATTGGGAGGTTTCCTTACATGCAATCTGAAGATCAGCAAAGCTGGCCAAGCTTTTATGAACTTTTGGAGGCAATTGTGGAAAGTCCACCACCTTCTGCTCCGTCGGATCAGTTCTCCCCTGAGTTTTGTTCTTTCGTGTCTGCCTGGTAATCAGATATTTACATGCATTCTTCACCTTTTACATATCTAATTCACATGAATGTGACTGTTTATATTTCCCATTACATTTGCAGCATACAGAAGAACCCTCAAGACAGATCGTCATCTTTAGACCTTTTGGTTAGTATGCTGGTGACTTTCTTTTCTTTCTTGGATGTTTTAGATCCAGCCATAAATTTGATGGAAAATTCTCTTTATTCTTTCAGGGTCACCCCTTCATCAAAAAGTTCGAAGACAAAGACATTGATCTTGGGATCCTGGTTGGTAGCTTAGAACCTCCTGTAAATTTTCCTAGATAGTTTGTCCTGCAGTGTAATCCTGAGGATACAATGTTTTTACTCATATGTACCAGTGTTCAGTTTTGATCAAACATTACATAAATTCTCTTGTGGTAACTAAAGCAGTTCGGTTTCATGTTCAGTTACTACTTTTTGTGTTCCTCTTGGTCACAATTTATGCATAGTGATGAAGAAAGATAGTGCTGGCTGGATAATGTGAACTCATTCCTACAGCTGTATGGTTATTGATTTTAAAATCCCAATTCGAGAACAAATTCAGATGTCTTGACAATATCATGCTATCCCATGATTTTGTTCAAGATTCATGGACATGTTTGTAGTTTGATGAACAAAAGGTAACCAGCTCCATATGTCCACCATTCCAAGATGATGTCACAGCACTGGCATTGGTTTTCTATTTTTATATTTAAATACCCTTTTTAAAAGAAAAATAAATTTGCATAAGAATGTAGTGGCAAAAGTTATGTGGACGAGGTTGCAGAAAAGAATGAATAAGTAAAAGACAACAGAGCTGGTGGGATGGGGATGGGGATGGGTCAAGCCGTCAAGGGTAGGTTTCTGTGGGCTTTAAAATCCAAAAACAAAACCATTAAATTTATACAAGGTTTTAAGGTCCAGCAGATTTGGCAATCTCCATGGATAAGATTTACAAGAATCAGCCAACATGGTAATAGTAGCAGCAAGCAGCATGTGGTGACAGTTTGAGTGCCCATCAAAATGCCGCTCCATGACCTGTTCCTTAGTCAACCTCCTCTTTAGTCCTTATCCTCAATCCCTTTCTTACCACCCCCAACTCTCTCCAAAATAAATTGGTGGATAATATAAAACCAACCAATCTTATAATTTTTATTAGATTTAGGCCCCTGCTTTTTTTATTCTTTTTTTCTTTTCTATTGAGCTGATTTGATTATATGAGGATTACATAATATTGTATGATGGTCGGTAGGATTTCATGACCAAAATAATTTTCCACATATGGTTAGGTTAATAGTTCTTAATTTTTTTTTAAAAAATTACTTTTCTATTAAGATGAATGATAATATACTAAACTCACATACACTGCACGGATATTAGGACTTGAACCCAAGACCTTTTCTGGGGAAGCAATTACCCCAAACTACTATAATAGTGAGTCATTTGCAACCGTTCTTAATTTTGTTCAAGCATGATATGACCAGCGAAGTTTCCTAAGAGGGATTTCAAGTTCAAAGGACAAAAAAGGAAGCAACATAACCACAAGCTTTACAGGTAAGGATTGTCCCATCTAAAGAGAAGACACTAGTTTTTTCGTAGTAAAATTTCTACTATGAAAATAGGGGAGGGTTTTAAGTTTTTGAACTCTTTGGACTGTACCCCATTAAAATGAAGGCAAAATAAAACAAGTTTCTGTTAAATGTAGAAAATATTCCTATTCCCTCTTGATAAAAAAAGATAAAAACTTTTGCTGGCCGATGCCTTTGAAACCCTTTATTGTTCTTTTTCATATTCTATGATATAAATTTTAAATCTTGATGCCTTGAAACATGTTAATAGGCAAATCTGTCATGGCTTTATGAGGCAAAGTTGCCTAAGATGGTGACCTAAGTTTCAAATCAACCCCACAATAAAAAGGGAGAGAGAGAGAGAGAGAGAGAGCAGTGACTCAGATATGGATGTCTTCAAACTTGGACCTTATCCTCATTTCTAGTAGTATGGGAAAGCAAATAAATTTAGACCATAAGGATGTGATAATGACAAATTCTGGGATATAGCGTTACACCAAAAAATTAAATCAATCATTAATAATAAAAAATAACAGAATAGTCAGTATTATCCATCTCCTCATTAATAAACGCAACACCACCAAGTATTTTATGCTTTCAAGCTTGTATATATATATGCTCCCTGAAAAACAACCCAATGGAAAATTATATGTTTTACGAAGTTTAAAAAAAAAAACTTCCATACTAAAAGAGAAGAGTGCTAGAAAATGGGTCATCATGAAGAAGAAAAGAGGATTCTTGAGGATCAAAATATAGAAGAAAAGCATGCTTATCAAGTTGGGCAGGATTATTGGGTTATCAAGGAAGATCATGATCATGATCATGAAGAAATGTGTGGCTCAAGATCTATTGAATCCTTACTGGAGAATTCAATGAACTCCATGGAATCATCATCTTCATCAGACTTGGTAGAGAATGCATCATCTGCTTCCACATCAAGCTCCTCGTCACCTTCCAATGGGCCTCTTTATGAACTATCTGACCTAATGATCCATCTTCCCATGAGGTAAGAACATAAGCTATATATGCTAGCTTCTTTTTTTCTTCTTTCTCATTTCCTCTGATTAAGTTGGTGGGTTTTGGTTTTGATTGTTGTTTCTTCTTCTTATGTTTGCAGGAGAGGTTTGTCAAAATATTATCAAGGCAAGGCCCAATCTTTCACATCCCTAGCAAGTGTGAAGAGCTTAGAAGACCTGGCAAAGAAGGTGGCTCCTTACAGAAGGAAAATAAAGCCATGCAAGAGCTATGGTGGGGGTTTGGATGGTGGTCACAAATCATATACTACTACTCCTAAAGCCATTATCTCAAAGAAAGCTTCTTCAAGAGGAGGATCTTTCTTATATTCCCTAAGTAAGAGAGGAAAATTGTTGGGTTAGCTTAGCTCTCTCTAGGCCTACAGCCAGCCCTGTACAAATCAATTTCTAAATATGATCAAACCTTTAGAAACTTGCTATGCATGGTTTTTGTATTGGAGAGTTAGTTTTGATCTGGAATTTTGTTCTTTTCTTCACATTGTCATTGTTCTTGTCTTAACTCTCAACATAAATTTAACATTCTTATAATCCATCACCACCTTTTTCCATTGGCAATATTTTATGTGTTGGATTTTATGTTAGATTGGCATGGAGATTCTTATGTTATGACAGTTCCATGATTTTTCCGGTTGATAAGATAATTTCTAGCCCTTTTTTTTCTTATTCTGATTGGCATCACATTCATCTTCATCGTTCAAATTTCAGAGGAATGTGTTGGTTCGAATACGATATCCAGCTTCACTGTATTTTTTTTGGTCAGATCCAAAACGACAATCTTTTATGGGAAGAAGAATCCAATTCAACAATTATTGATTTTTTTTTAAGGAATTGATACACAAGAATTGCTCACTGGGTCCTTTTTCTTTTGAAATTTTGATTTCTCATTCCATTTGCTTTTGAACTTTGTAAAAAGGTAATTCATGACGGAATAGATTCTTTTCTTTTTTCGAAAAGAATGAGGGGGTGATAAGATTAGAAAGTATAAAATGTAGGAAAAACAAAAATCAATGAATGGCAGCAGAAGTGCAAAATCAACGACAAAATTTGTAACTTTTGAAACACAGGACATGGCATGCTCTTTACATAGGACGGGGAACATGCAAAGCGCCGAAGCACATAATACGGAAAACTTGTCGTTTTTTCAATGTCAGTCGATTTTTGTTCTTGCGTTCTGATCTTCGTTCTTTTTTGACTAAATATTCCGAAATGAGCAAAATTCTTTTATAACCTGCTTCTCAGGCGTACAACTATACTACTGCTTCTCAGTCAATTAAAGTAAACAGAACAAAATGCTACAAAAATTAATGGCAATTTTTCACCAAAAATGTTATCGATTGAGAAATCTGAGTACAATTTTACTGTGCAAATGGGAAACAAGCATTCGATTTCCGTATTAAGATGGTTATAGCACTATTTCATAACAGCATCATATCTTGTAAACAGGTTCAATTCCGAGCAGATTGAAACATTTCCTCATCACAATGGCTGTTGCTTCACAAAGCAAGAGTCTGCTCGTTTCCTCTGGAGACCCAACAACCTGCCCAATTGTACATTGCCATGAAGATGAATCAGGTTTTTGAGATCATATTCAATAAAATTCTCATTTATATTTATTGCTAAACACCTATCAAACACCATCGTTGAGTTTATAGTTGGCTTCAATTCACCGCAAATATGTGACAATGATATTATCACTACTCATCAACACAAATCAGGAGACAAGCAATCACGGTTGATACCTGGCAATTGGAGTAGAACTTTTTGGTAAATACTTCTGATAAGTTGTACAGGTATTCACACAAAACATTTGGCAACAGATTGGTGCAGGTCTCCTCCACGTTCTGAGAAGTGAAAGGGAAAAATGCAACTGTTAGTACCACACATATGGCAGTGTTATCAACGAAGACTCGAGCAAAGGTCACAAGGAAGGCAGCAAATCAGTTTCATTATTGCATGCACTTACCTCTGAAAACTGTAGCAAATGAAGCCAATGTCAGTCGATTTTTGTTCTTGCGTTCTGATCTTCGTTCTTTTTTGACTAAATATTCCGAAATGAGCAAAATTCTTTTATAACCTGCTTCTCAGGCGTACAACTATACTACTGCTTCTCAGTCAATTAAAGTAAACAGAACAAAATGCTACAAAAATTAATGGCAATTTTTCACCAAAAATGTTATCGATTGAGAAATCTGAGTACAATTTTACTGTGCAAATGGGAAACAAGCATTCGATTTCCGTATTAAGATGGTTATAGCACTATTTCATAACAGCATCATATCTTGTAAACAGGTTCAATTCCGAGCAGATTGAAACATTTCCTCATCACAATGGCTGTTGCTTCACAAAGCAAGAGTCTGCTCGTTTCCTCTGGAGACCCAACAACCTGCCCAATTGTACATTGCCATGAAGATGAATAAGGTTTTTGAGATCATATTCAATAAAATTCTCATTTATATTTATTACTAAACACCTATCAAACACCATCGTTGAGTTTATAGTTGGCTTCAATTCACCGCAAATATGCGACAATGATATTATCACTACTCATCAACACAAATCAGGAGGGCAATCATTAAGCAATGTGCTGGAAATTGTACCATTACTTAACAGGATCACAAAGTTGCATTCTTAATTAAAGTCCCATTCTAGGAACAAACTACAGGTTGGACTAAGTATGCAACCATTCATATACATTCTCTCAATTTGTTTTGATAAATCTTGATATCACAGAGTTTTTAGTAATTCCTAAGGTTCTTCAAGAAACATTACACTTATATATCCATTCACATTCAGGATGCAAAACCTGAGGCAGTAGTCACAAGACAAGCAATCACGGTTGATACCTGGCAATTGGAGTAGAACTTTTTGGTAAATACTTCTGATAAGTTGTACAGGTATTCACACAAAACATTTGGCAACAGATTGGTGCAGGTCTCCTCCACGTTCTGAGAAGTGAAAGGGAAAAATGCAACTGTTAGTACCACACATATGGCAGTGTTATCAACGAAGACTCGAGCAAAGGTCACAAGGAAGGCAGCAAATTAGTTTCATTATTGCATGCACTTACCTCTGAAAACTGTAGCAAATGAAGCCCCAATTCCCGCTCACCCGTATGATCCAACACAATTTCCCCTGTCTGTCTCAAACAAAAAGTGACATCAGATCTCATCCACCAGTTTGCAGTGGCCATGGAACTAAGGAAATTAGATGCAGTAGGAGGTTTAAAATATTTGTCTCTTCAAAGCCACATGCAGTGCGATAAAGTTTTGGGTCAATAGTATTCAGAACACATACAAAAATAAGTATATAGACCTCATGCATAGGAAACACGTGTTGGTACATAGACCTAATATATATGTATGGTTAGGACTAAAGAAGTAGATCGACACGCGCTGATAGCAATGCGAAATAATGTAGCTGAACTTACTTTTTTCAATTCCTCTATGTTTCTGCCAGATTTCCTTATTATTGAACAGATCCGAGCATGAGCATAGAGCAAGTAAACAGCAGTGTTTCCCTGCTCAAGTAGTTCGGAACAGTAGGACATATATAGCATTAGTGTATGGTTTAATATTTTAAAGGCAGGGAGAGAACGAGATTCTATGCAAAACCTTAACCAAATACTAGTTGACGCACCTTATCATTTAGCATCTGATCAAAATCAAAAGTGTAATTGGTCAATCTATTGTTCTTCAGATCAGCATACCTGTCAAAACATTTGAATTTAAAAAAAGGTATCCTAAAAACAATAGTGACAATAGCATGTCATGACAGTAAACTAGTATTGTAGACCCCGAAAGTTACAAAAATCCCACCGACAGGTGATGCCGAAGTGAAGAAAAATCATGGGAAGAGAGGAAAAGAAAAAAGAAACCAAACGTGGTCAAAATGTGTTACTTTATCTGTCATTTACAAGATCCTGTTCACAATATTGTGCAAAATAATTGTGCAATCATAGACTCTTAGTACATTATTAAACTAAGAAGTCAACTCCAACATATTTTTCAATATCGAAAAGAAAAAATCACTGCAGGTAGCACATTTTCAAGAGCCTTGTGAGCTGCAATCATTAAGCAATGTGCTGGAAATTGTACCATTACTTAACAGGATCACAAAGTTGCATTCTTAATTAAAGTCCCATTCTAGGAACAAACTACAGGTTGGACTAAGTATGCAACCATTCATATACATTCTCTCAATTTGTTTTGATAAATCTTGATATCACAGAGTTTTTAGTAATTCCTAAGGTTCTTCAAGAAACATTACACTTATATATCCATTCACATTCAGGATGCAAAACCTGAGGCAGTAGTCACAAGTTATATATTCTTGTAAATTTTACCTAGCCTATCCCGTCCCATTCATTATGATGATGACAATAACAAGAATTACAACAGTCAACCAGGAGAAACTTATAGAAGTTCAGGCAGCTTACTTAACAGCACTGTAACCAACAGCCTCTGCGGTTTGATCAAGCTCCTTTTCAGTCCACTCTTCAGCCTTACCTGATTATGATTTGAAGAAATATTTAACTACTTGAGAAGCTTAAAAGGTTAGGTGTTATCTAATATGATGCGAAATAAAATTTCCCCTCGGAATATGAAGTATGATCCAACACAATTTCCCCTGTCTGTCTCAAACAAAAAGTGACATCAGATCTCATCCACCAGTTTGCAGTGGCCATGGACTAAGAAAATTAGATGCAGTATGGAGGTTTAAAATATTTGTCTCTTCAAAGCCACATGCAGTGCGATAAAGTTTTGGGTCAATAGTATTCAGAACACATACAAAAATAAGTATATAGACCTCATGCATAGGAAACACATGTTGGTACATAGACCTAATATATATGTATGGTTAGGACTAAAGAAGTAGATCGACACGCGCTGATAGCAATGCGAAATAATGTAGCTGAACTTACTTTTTTCAATTCCTCTATGTTTCTGCCAGATTTCCTTATTATTGAACAGATCCGAGCATGAGCATAGAGCAAGTAAACAGCAGTGTTTCCCTGCTCAAGTAGTTCGGAACAGTAGGACATATATAGCATTAGTGTATGGTTTAATATTTTAAAGGCAGGGAGAGAACGAGATTCTATGCAAAACCTTAACCAAATACTAGTTGACGCACCTTATCATTTAGCATCTGATCAAAATCAAAAGTGTAATTGGTCAATCTATTGTTCTTCAGATCAGCATACCTGTCAAAACATTTGAATTTAAAAAAAGGTATCCTAAAAACGATAGTGACAATAGCATGTCATGACAGTAAACTAGTATTGTAGACCCCGAAAGTTACAAAAATCTTTAGCCCACCGATAGGTCATGCCGAAGTGAAGAAAAATCATGGGAAGAGAGGAAAAGAAAAAAGAAACCAAACGTGGTCAAAATGTGTTACTTTATCTGTCATTTACAAGATCCTGTTCACAATATTGTGCAAAATAATTGTGCAATCATAGACTCTTAGTACATTATTAAACTAAGAAGTCAACTCCAACATATTTTTCAATATCGAAAAGAAAAAATCACTGCAGGTAGCACATTTTCAAGAGCCTTGTGAGCTGCAATCATTAAGCAATGTGCTGGAAATTGTACCATTACTTAACAGGATCACAAAGTTGCATTCTTAATTAAAGTCCCATTCTGGAACAAACTACAGGTTGGACTAAGTATGCAACCATTCATATACATTCTCTCAATTTGTTTTGATAAATCTTGATATCAGAGTTTTTAACAATTCCTAAGGTTCTTCAAGAAACACTTATACATCCATTCACATTCAGGATGCAAAACCTGAGGCAGTAGTCACAAGTTATATATTCTTGTAAATTTTACCTAGCCTATCCCATCCCATTCATTATGATGATGACAATAACAATAATTACAACAGTCAACCAGGAGAAACTTATAGAAGTTCAGGCAGCTTACTTAACAGCACTGTAACCAACAGCCTCTGCAGTTTGATCAAGCTCCTTTTCAGTCCACTCTTCAGCCTTACCTGATTATGATTTGAAGAAATATTTTACTACTTGAGAAGCTTAAAAGGTTAGGTGTTATCTAATATGATGCGAAATAAAATTTCCCCTCGGAATATGAAGACATCTTGCTAATAAAAGGAAGATATAGAATTACACCACAGTTATAGATGGTTGAACATAGGCCATTCAATATCATACCGCGCTCAAGAAGGGCTGTTTTGCTACGATCCTTGGCTTCATCTAGTAAATCAACCAATCGGACCACCTCACTAGAGCGAGTCCGAAAGCGTTTTCCATCTTCACCAAGAACAAGACCAAAACCAACATGGGTAACTTTTGGTTTCAAGGCATCATCATTAGGGAGCCAACCTGCACGTTTAGCTGCCTGAAACAAAAAATAAAGTTATGTTCAACCAAATAACTGCCTTGTATTACCCATAGACTTCAAAGCGGATACATGAAAAACAAATAAGACTTATGTTCTGCAATAAATAATTATAGCAAGAACATAACCAGAACATTCATGAAACACCATAAATCAGGGTATGCAGAGACAGGTCACGACTTTAGCAACATACCTTGAAAAACATATCAAAATGCTGCTGCTGGCCAACATCGGTAACATATATGATCCAATCAGCTTTCTCCTCATTGAGGCGATACCTATAGATTGCAAGTAGCAACGTCAGTATGAATGACAACATTCTCTCGTTAAGGCGACCTCATTAAGGCGATACCTATAGGGGCAGAAGTATAGTGAAGGAACATGGCTGACTGACTAACCATAAAGTAACATATTTGACTCATCAAATCTCTAAAAACTATCAAAATTAACAAATACGTACCAGAGAGCTGTTAAATCAGTTGAAGCATAGTTATAACCACCATCGCTCTTGACTACAATCAGGGGGATGTTAAACCCTTCAAGGAATATAACCCTTGCACCCTGACTTTCCTCAATTAACCCTAGGTCGTTTAACTCTTTTAAAACCCCAGGAATATATGGGTTATAAAAGCTTTCTCCCTGTCAGAAACAGAAAATAATACATAAAGAATATGACTTTGCTGCCCAACTTTTTGTTTTCTTATCCAAAAGGGATATAAGAAATCAAGACTGAAGCTAGAACATACCTTTTCGTCTAAATGAACTCCAAGGCGTTCATAGACCCTGTGAAATTCTTTACGGCTGATTTCACAGATTTTCAGCCATGCATTGCGGTACTTAGGTTCCCCACCCTGCAAATTGAGTTGAATCACAACCAAGATATGAGGAAAAAAATTCAAAAGACAGTCTTCCAAAATTTTAAATGCTTACAAACATACAACTAAGAATGCATAACTTACCTGCAGGCGAACCACTGCCTGTTGTGCTCTCTCCTTAAAAGCAGGATCATCATCGAATCTCTGTTTTGATGCTTTATAGAATGCCTAACAAAATACCACTCAATTAAAGTCACTATTGATCATTTTATTTTATTTTACGATTCATCATGCTTGGGCATAAAGAGCAGAATCTCATCTATATAGCATTAAGATGCTCCAATTAAACAAAGAAGATGTCACATTTAAACGACTAAAGAACAAGGAGAATGCTTTCACTCACCTGCAGATCACCAATGGCCGTTTCACTAACTTCTTCTACGTTTGGGAACTTTTCAAAAAGGAACTCGATCAACATACCAAACTGAAATACACATAGAACTTTTTTAGCCACATATTACTGATGGAAAAAAGGAGTGCTTCTCTATAAAACATATTAAACATTGAATTATGAAAGACATAATAAGATCTGACTAATGGCTTCTCCTCTTAAAACAAGCCTGTAATCCCAACGTCAGAAGGTTGTAATGTTGTAATGGTTACACCAATGAAGGGTATAATAGAGAACCGCATGCAGATGCTGCCTTCAACTAACCACAAACACCTAGAGTATGCATGGATGTAAACATATACATATGTTTGTCTGTGTGTCTACGTATATATAGAAGATCAACATACCAAACTGAAATACACATAGAACTTTTTTAGCCACATATTACTGATGGAAAAAAGGAGTGCTTCTCTATAAAACATATTAAACATTGAATTATGAAAGACATAATAAGATCTGACTAATGGCTTCTCCTCTTAAAACAAGCCTGTAATCCCAACGTCAGAAGGTTGTAATGTTGTAATGGTTACACCAATGAAGGGTGTAATACAGAACCGCATGCAGATGCTGCCTTCAACTAACCACAAACACCTAGAGTATGCATGGATGTAAACTTATACATATGTTTGTCTGTGTGTCTACGTATATATAGAAGGCAAGTACCACATGTTAGATGGTGGGCAAAACTGAAGAGTTCTAGTTTACCATTTTTTGTATGGATTAGTTAAATATGCTATAAATACAATACATTGTAACCAAAAAAGCAAAAAACTACATCACCTGCGTCCCCCAGTCACCAACATGATTCCGTCGAAGAACTTCAACATTTGAAAACTCAAGAGTACGGGCTAGTGTGTCCCCAATAATAGTTGACCTTAAGTGGCCAACATGCATTTCTTTAGCTATATTAGGTGACGAAAAGTCAACCACAGCCCTT